CAGATCTGAGGGGTCTGAGGGGACAGAGCTGAGGGGTCTGTGAGGGGATAGAGCTGAGGGGTCTGAGGGGACAGAGCTGAGGGGTCTGAGGGGACAGAGCTGAGGGGTCTGAGGGGACAGAGCTGAGGGGTCTGAGGGGACAGAGCTGAGGGGTCTGAGGGGACAGAGCTGAGGGGTCTGAGGGGACAGAGCTGAGGGGTCTGAGGGGACAGAGCTGAGGGGTCTGAGGGGACAGAGCTGAGGGGTCTGTGAGGGGACAGAGCTGAGGGGTCTGTGAGGGGACAGAGCTGAGGGGTGTGAGGGGACAGAGCTGAGGGGTGTTAGAGCTGAGGGCAGGGGGAGTGCAGAGACCCCAGCTCATCCAGCCAGAACAGCCACATTTTGCATTCAGCACAGACATGGAGCTGCTGGAGAGGGTCCAGGGGAGGCCACAGAGATGATCCAAGGACTGGAGCAGCTCTGCTTTGGAGCCAGGCTGGGAGAGTTGGGGTGTTCAGCCTGGAGAAGAGAAGGCTCCAGGGAGACCTTAGAGCAGCTTCCAGTGCCTGAAGGGGCTCCAGGAGAGCTGGGGAGGGACTTTCACCAGAGAGGGCAGTGATAGGACAAGGGGTCACAGTTTTAAACTGAAAGAGTGGAAATTCAGGTCAGACATCAGGAAGAAATTCTTTGCTATGAGGGTGGTGAGAGCCTGGCCCAGGCTGCCCAGGGAAGCTGTGGCTGCCCCATCCCTGGCAGTGTTGAAGGGCAGGTTGGATGGGGCTTGGAGCAACCTGGGCTGGTGGGAGGTGTCCCTGCCCATGCAGGCCTGCCTTTGGAAAGCAAAGAAGCCAAACTGATCCAACACTGGCAAAACCTTCAGGTTTTCCATTTCTTCAGCATCTCCATTGCCCACATCCGTCTGCTGTGCTGCTCCCACAGGACCAGGAGAAGGGGGTGGCTGGGGGTACCTCCATGCAGCCCCCACTGCTTGTTCCCAGAGAGCCTGCTGAGTGCCCCCAGGGGACATCCCTGGCCATGTGCCATGAGGACTCAGCTCTCCCGAGTGCTGGGTGGTCTCTGGGATGCCCTGGGCACAGCAAGCTGATCTTTTCCTCCCACTTGAGCTGGGTATTTATGCTCACTTGCTCTGGGCTCAGCAGGGGATAGGGTTGCTCTCTGCTCCTGTGTCGGGTGAGCCGAGGCTGGGGGCTGTTCCTCTGCCTCTCCAGCCCGTGCATCTGGTAAATCTCAGATTTCAGAGCAGTTTTGTGTCCTTGCAGGACGTTCATTTCCCAGCAATAGGGCTGGGACTGGTAGTGTGACAAACCAAGAGGGTTCTCTCTGCAGGGATGGGTCTGTATTAGGAACAGATAAAATTTATGTGTAAATAAATCCAAAAACCAAAACAGATCCTTCCTACTCTTTGATTTAAAGGAACAGTCAGTCCTAACTCTCTCTGCCCTTACAGTAAGTGTCATCAAATGGAACAACCAGTTTGCCAGTAAAGTACCATCAATGCAACAGCATAACAAGAAAAAAGAATTATTGTCATCACAAGGCAATTAATTTCTGTACCTACTGGAGTAATGTAATTACTTCAGCATTTTCACAGCACATTTATGATGTGACTGTGAGGCCCCAACAGAAGCAGTGGGGCTGGACCTGCCTTATAAACACCTGAAATCACTGATGCTTGTGTGTAGCCAACAGAACAACAACTGAACACCTCAGATCTGCATCTTTATTTGGACTTAATTGTTCACTGCTCTGGGAGCAGAACAAGTAAATCCATGTTTGATGCTCAGATCCTGCAAGCACAAAAGCAGGACATGATTAATTATTTCATTGACTTGGCCAAGTCAAGGGACAACCAGCTCTTTATCCTATTACCAACACCAGGAGTTGTCCAGGTCAGCACAAGCCTCTTAGCTCTGCTTTTAGATATTGAGCTGTGAAATAAGCTCAGTGATTTCTGTGCTGCACCCATCTTGTCTCTTCTCTGGATGTGGGAGTCCTGCTCTTTCCGTCGTTGCTTTGATCAGTAACTGTGGATTCACACCTGAATTAATACAGATCCAGGCTGTAAATTTCTGGACTGGTAGATCCAATCTTGTCACACTGGAAAACTGCAGCAGGAGCCTGCTTGGACCCTCCCATGGGGCAAGGACTGTTGGTCTGCGTGGTGAGATCTGGAAGTGAGGAGCAAAGTCCCAAGAGTTTAAACAATGATGCAAAAGGACAGAGTTTACTCAAACTGAAGCATTTCCCCTCTCAATCCTCAGTCAGGGCAGCATCCCGAGTTCCCCCTCTGAGACAGTCTGAGAAAGGGCATAAAGAATTTGAATTTCTAAGCAAAACATTGTAAAAGATGATCCAGTTTCATTGCAGATAAGTTGAAAAAAGGTGCTGCCCTGGGCTTGGGAGCTCCCAGAACAAATGCACCCTGCTCTGACTGGGAAAACCTTTTGATAGAGAGCTCTGCCTTGCCTTTTCTTTCTCTTTTCCAAATTCAGTCTGAAAAATTAGAGCTTTTCCAAGTAATCCAGTAGCCCAGGAAGGATTTGTACATGGACACAGCCCATCACCTCTGCTACAGCCCCAGAGAGCTGCAGCTCAGAGAAGGTTCAATGATAAAAAAAAAATATGGCAGTCATGGTATTTGGCATGTTACAGGCAACAAAAGATGAACAACAGCAACTGGGACGTTATCTTTGTTTGCTAAAAATAGAGTCCCACAAAGCTTAAAGAAAAGCACTTTATGCTTGTAAACCTCTCCCCTGGCTGTGAAAGAGCCTTCCAAGATGGGCTTTGTGGCTCTGGGGGGGCGCATCCCCTTTCAAAGGCTCAGACAATTGAAACTCAATACATCAGCCATGATGGGGTGTGTGTGTGGGGGGAAATAAATAGTTCAGACAAGCCCCTGCTCTTCTAACTCATCAGAACCCAATGCATGAACAGGAGCTTTAGGGCAAGTACATCCAGCCACATCCCGTGCCCAGTTATGCCTGCAGCACAGCCCTGGTCACCCTGGCCACCCTGGCACTCTAGGCACTGGCATAGCCACCAGAAAATGAGCAGGTTTGTGTGCCCACGCCACTGCTGAGCTATGCATGGGCATTTGATCCCTGGCATCTGCCAGGCAGGTGGCAGAGCTGGGTGCCTGGCTGCCCCTCTGCACCCTCAGAGAACCTCCCCTCAGCCACACATGGGCACACTCGCCTTCCCCCGTACCCTGTAACGGAGGCAAATCATTTAAATCCCCCCCATTCTCCTTTGCTTTTCCAGCTGCGGAGAAACCAACTTAGCCAAGCCTGAAGTTTTGGCTGACTCTGCAGCACCTCAGGATCTTTGTGCAACAGTGCAGAAACTCCTTTTTGCAATGGAGTAGCACCAGAGCCATTGACGTGACCCTGCGAGCGGAGGGGATGATGTGATGTTTGGCACCAGCCAAATAAAGACAGAACAATGGGGCTATTTTTGTGGAGGAGAGTTCAGAGGCCTCTGCAGGAAGCCAAACCTCAAGCTGGCCCATCACGCACACAAAAAAAAAACCCCAAGACAGAGCTCTTGTACCCCAGCTTCTCTGTCACATAAATACCAGCTTCTGCCAGGGCATGAAAGAAATCTATTGTCTCTAAGGCCACATTTCGATGCAAAATGCTCTGGTAAGGCCAGCAATCTTAAACCCCCCACACGTGTGCCTATTGTTTGAAGTGCAGAACAATTGAAGGGTGCTCTCATGGGCTAAAGATAGAAAGGCAGCTGGTGCTGTCCTTTTCCCTGTAACTGAGAATAAAACAATACCCAAGTATTGTCTGCATTGCTGGAGCGATGACATTGGACTCTCTGCCAAGAGAGCATCTAAAAGATCAATGAAACCCGGGTTATTTATAAACGGGTAGTGTCATTTCTTCCCCAAAGTGATTTCACTTCCTTAGCTTTTCCACCAGGCTTTTCTGCTCCATGAAGTGGCCGTGGAGTGAGGTATAAATAGTACCGAGCTCGGCTGCGAGAGAGGCAGCGGGACCAGCTGCTGGAAAATGAAGCTGCTGTGGCTGGACCTGAGTTTGGCTGCACCTTCACTTCCCCGAGATGTGCCCAAGCTTCTACAGCATCCAGGTGGGGACCAGCCATGGTGCTGACCCCCTTCTGCCATGGGGGAGCAGGTCCCTTCAGGGCCAGAGTCCCACCAGCACCAGGACTTTGTTTCTGGGGAAGGTTTTGAGGAGGTAGGCAGTAGCACAGGCTGCATGTGTGTCCTGCCGTGCTGGGGTGCTCAGGGTAACCCTTGAGCCCAAACACTGTGGGAAAGAGCCTTGCTTAGGGACAGGGGACATCTTGTAGGGGAAAGCTGCTGTCTGCAAGGTGGCATCTCACCAGGACATATCCAGACCAGAGACTGCCAAACCTGGAGTTTGGAGAAAGAAAAGCCCATCTTGTCTGATGGGCCGTAGTGAGGTGAGAAGGTCTCCTGTGGTGAAATGAGAACATGAATGAATGTTGCTCCATCCAAGTTGACAGCCAGTCTTGAGAAAGGTCCAAGCCTACCAGATCCCATGAAAAACTCCCATGTCTGCTGCCACTCCATCTTGAAATACTGTCCCTTGTCATGAGAGAGGGATCTCATGTCTGAGCGGTGTCTGAACCCACAGTTCCTAGAAGTTCCTAGAAGTTCCTAGAAGGCTAGGTTGGTGGGCCAGGAGAGCGGAGCCATGGCCTTCACCAGGAAGGAAACAACTGCCAAATCCAAGCAGCAGGTCCCATCCCAGTGTGGCAGCTTCCATCAGCTCTTCTCAACATGACCCTAGTCCACTTTCCCATGGATCAAAGGAGAAGGTGCATGAGAAGTGGAGGGGGCAGGGGGCTATAATGGAATTGCCCTGGGGACCAGCACTCTGTGAGGGGCTGGTTGTGTGGGCTTGGTGTGTGTACAGGACACTACCCGACCTCATGCTCCCAGATCTCAAAGCAGATGAAAACTGCTGCAAACCCAGAACAGCTCAGAGCTCTGCAGGGTCTGGGTCCTGCACATGGACTGGCCAAACCACCTCCTGGCTCTGGTTCTTCTCTGGCTCTCTGCCTCCCTTGCAGCCTCCAAAGGCAGCCCCTGGCCATGATTTCCAGCAGCTGCTGGGCCAGGCTCTGCCTGGGCAGGCCAGCTGCAATTAAGGTGCTATTAAGTATTCAAATGAGCCAGGCAAGATTCTCTTTTCTCTCATTGTTTTGAAGTCTGTGACCAAAACCTCCAGCCACTTCACTGAATGCTCCGATGTTCCTGCAATTTTTGCACTGTTCACTACAACCTTTCTTCCCAAACAGATGCTTTAAGGTGGCAACATCCAGAAAAAAACTCCTTGAACCTCAAATCTGGTAAATTCAAAGTGGACAAACAAAATCTCTCCAGTTTTCTCCATGTGATCTCACTGTCTCCATGCCTGCTTGTGACCTTCCCAGCACCTTGCTCGCTAACTCTGGAAACTCACATCTTGTCTCTTCAAGGTCCTTTCTCAATCCTGATTCTCATTTTGGAGACTTCCTGCATGCAGTGGGAGCACAGGGTGCTCTGAGGCTTGGCCATCAGTGTGTCTGTGCTGCACAAGCCTTGTGCCATGATGAGGTGTGTACCACTACACCCAGGTGCTCATGGCAGCAGCAGCTTCTTGCATGTTCATGAAGGGTCACAGAGGCAGCACTTCTCCCACAGCCAAAGGACAGGCAGCTCAGAAGAGGGGGACCAGCACTGTCTCCAGGGTGGGATGTCCAGGCAGCTGAGCACATGTCATGGGAAATGCCCAGGGAACTGTGAGAAGAGAGGATCCAGTGCTAACTCCATCTCAGGTCTCAGAGGAGCATCTGCCCGTTGGGATCCCTGCACCCACCTCCTGATGATGTCCAGGGGTGCAGGGAAAGCTTTGCTAGGGTGGTGGCTGCTGTCCCTCTTGCTTTGGTGGGGCATCTGGAGGGATTCATGGAGCTACTGGAGAGAGTCCAGAGGAGATGATCAGAGGGCTGGAGCACCTATCCTCTGAAGACAGGCTGAGAGACTTTGGGGTACTCAGCCTGGAGAAGAGAAGGCCCCAGGGAGACCTTAGAGCACCTTCCAGTGCCTGAAGGGGCTCCAGGAAAGCTGGGGAGGGGCCTGGGACAAGGGCAGGGAGGGAGAGGACAAGGGGGAATGGGTTAAATGGAAGAGGGCAGATTTAGGTGAGACATGAGGAGGAAATTCTTCACCATGAGGGTGGTGAGACCTTGGCCCAGGTTGCCCAGGGAAGCTGTGGCTGCCCCATCCCTGGCAGTGTTGAAGGGCAGGTTGGATGAGGCTTGGAGCAGCCTGGGCTGGTGGGAGGTGTCCCTGCCCATGCAGGGGTTTGGAACCAGATGATCTTCTAGATCCCTTCCAACTCAAACCCTTCTGTGATTCTATGATTCAGGGCTTTGCTTTGGAGGGAGCCAGAGGGACACTGCCAGCCTGACAGTGCTGGCCTGTCACCTCTGCCTGCCACGCTGTGAGCAGACAT